GTCCCCACACTCCACCCACACTGTCCGTGTGCCCCAACACACACCACTACCCGCCCCCCCCAACTCTTCATTCGAACCCTTTCAGTGTCATCCTCGCTGGCCCATCATCTGCGCACCCCAGCCCCTCTCGGGCTCCGTACCTGCTCCTCGGTCTTGAGGTCCCCGAAGTCCTTGAGGAACTCGGTCTCCGAGGGGAACTGCGTGGGCTCCAGGAAGTGCAGCAGGCTGAACAGCTCCTCCACGGTGTTCTGCAGGGGCGTGCCTGTCAGCAGGACCTTGTGCTCCTGGGAAGAGGGAACGGAGCCGGTCAGTGTCATCAAAGGAGGAGGCAGCGATCTCCCAAAACACCCCAGGGCCAAAACGGACTAGGATCACCCTGGAGGTCCTTTTCCAACTGGGACTCTGCACAGCCCCACCCACTTCTGGCCAGCCCCGCCTCTGGCCAGCCCCACCCACTTCTCCACAGCCCCACCCCACCCACGTCTCCACAGCCCCGCCCCTGGCCAGCCCCACCCACTTCTCCACAGCCCTGCCTCACCCACTTCTCCACAGCCCTGCCTCACCCACTTCTCCACAGCCCTGCCTCACCCACTTCTCCACAGCCCTGCCTCTGGCCCACCCCACCCACTTCTCCACAGCCCAGCCCCACCCCTTCCTCCATCCCTCCTCTCACCAGGTCCAGCATCTTGAGGCTGTCCAGCAGCTTGCAGTTGCGGTTCTTGAGGCGGTGGGCCTCGTCGATGACCACGCAGCGCCAGGCGATCTCCCGCAGCTCGGGGCAGTCGGACAGCACCATCTCGAACGTGGTGATCAGGGCGTCGAACTTGTAGGCCCCCGGGATCAGGTGTCCCTGAGAGAGAGAGGGGTGTGAGAGAGCATTCCTTGCCAACAGCAGGACCAGCAGCCTGTACGTCTGGCGGAGTGGGATCTGCTTTCTGATTTTTATACTGCAGCACCAACAGAAAAACAGAGCTGCGTAAGACTGCCTCTACCCCAAAAGTGTCCAGTCAGTCAGTCAGTCAGTGTCTGTATGAACCCCTCTCTCTCAGGGCAGTGTTAATGTACTGGAGTGTCCGGTCAGTCAGTGTGTCTGTATGAACCCCTCTCTCTCAGTGCAGTGTT